ATGATCATCATTCCCACCTAACGTATATCCGTCAGTTTATCGACCGTCGCCGTAAATAATCCAAGCAATCCAGCTAGTACCTTCGATCTACACACCGATTTCGGTAAGCATCCGCCCATTTCTTGCAGACTATCGAGTCTAACTTTTCGTCAAGGACTCTTTGCCGCTAATATTGGGAATGCTCACTCAAACAGCTATCCCATGGCCACTTCACTCGACCCTTGATCATGTGCCATTCATTACAGATTCTATCATACGGGTTTGCAGCAAAGCTTATCAGTTGTCATCATTAGAAAGTAGCTGGAATATAACTTCCGATTGTGTCTTACCATGTCGGCTGATCATCCAGAATGATCGTCCACAGCCATCATGAACCAGTCCGAGTCACAAAGAATTGTATTCAGGGGAGACGACGCATGCATAGCAAAGTTACATCTTACATTCTCTTACTATTACCCTGATTCATGGATTCGCTGTAATTCCGGCTACGAGGACGTCCAAAGCTGTCATCCGTGAAACAGTTGTGGAACCTTGAAATGGTCCGCCCCATTCAATACCATAGGAATCCTCCTGGCGAGCAAGATCTCGAAGTGCGTTGAACTGTTTCACAAAAGATCTTGTATTAGTATCGAATTTTCCTTGAGAAGAAAATGAGGACAACCTGAACGTTGATATATGCACCGGCCTTGTTTTGGAATTCTACCTCTGATTGATTACATGAATATGCTCCGAAAATTCCACGTATCAAACCCCCTGGATAGTATAGATATCCCAAAGGAGATTCATAATTTTAGTGGCCTTTATGCTGTGTGAAATGGATGAAAATACCTTTTGAAGCCGCAACGTCGAAACGGCCTGATACATGCTGCTGAGTGGGTGACAGAATTCCTGTACTACCATGCCATTCGACCATGCCCATAACAACATTGGCTATATCACGCGCCCTATTCCGTTACCAGGTAATGGGATCGAGCCCATCTTGTGAGTTACTAACATACACTCAAGAGACTCGCTTGACCAATCCGATACCGCTCTTTCAATCTTGTGATGGTCAACACCGAGTAAACTTAAAACAAAAATATTCGCACCTCTGAGTCAGGAAAAGCACGTTGAAAGACCTGATAGCGATAAAATTTCATCACAAGGGACTGCTAGTATCGTGGAAAAGTAGAAAGTAGATGTTTGAATTTGTCATTTTGCCATATTGGGTAAACTTTCCTTGATTTCAACAATCCGATATGGTCTAATGGCTAGGATAGCGCTCTTTCAAGACATTGCTTACTTAAGCAAATGCGCCCAGCGCGGGTCGGGGTTCGATTCCCCGTGTCGGAACGTCTTTTTTGGTAATTTTATTATACCTTTCACGATTGGGAGAGGCCGCAGCCGAAAAAATAGCGCTTTAGCCTGAATTTTGGGGAAGATCGGTGAAAGTTGGCGCCGACATCGGAGTTTGAATCTAGAAATATCCATTTAATTGTCTCAAATCATATCAGATGTTCTACGTCAAGAATCTCCATCATTACTTACTTGGAGATACTTGAAATTTGATCAGTAAGAGGTTTTGAAGTCATTTGAACATTAGGTAGAACGCGTTCTATACATGTCTCATTTCGATTCTCACGGTTCGGAGCTGTGATCATTCTCCGTATCTTCCAAATGCAATAACAGCCATGAGATAAATATTATATTTCTATCAGCAAGAAACAACGTTGGAGTCTCTATTTTTTCCGCTCTGCAGGTCATTTGATTCGGTGAGCGATCTGCAGGTGGCTCTTGACTGATGGTAAGTCCTCAAGGGATCTGGTAACAAGATACATGAGTATTCACTTTGGAGAAATCCCTCAGAGACTTACGCATCACAGAAGCACATAAAGGGTCATGGGGGCCGTGGAAACCCAGACCATCTTCATCAAGCTTTCCTCCCTCCGTATCGGGCCTCGATTGGAAATGACCACATACATGACTGCTCCAATTGTTTTCCTTGTAACTGGCAAAATAAGCGAGTCAGCAGAATGACACTGGTGATTTAATTCATACTCACTAGCGATATCGCTCGCGCGGTACAAGGCTCGTATCCTTATAGCAAAGCGGGCATGGCCTCCATTGGTTGTTCACAAGTTTGGACCATTGGTTCTCCTTAACATCAAGCTTATCCATAAGAGGCTTGTGGTAAGCAAAGACATGGTCTTCGAAATCCTTGAGTGAAGGAATACTGTGACACGGCATTGTTAGTGAAGCTCTTGGCATGATGTAAATGGCGTACGTTTTGTCACAACAGACCCCGACGGTTTCCAGACCCTGCTGGAGGTAACGAACCGCCAACCCGTGACTCTCGAGGTGCAGCACGAATTGATCAAATTCTTCGAAATCATCTTCGCAACCAAAGGGACAAGTCTTGAGTTGAGCGATAAAGTGGAGGTATAGATGAGTGTGGAGAGGGAGCATGTCGCCATGGGCAAGATGAGTGCCGACACTGTGTTCAAAATGGAAGATTGGTCGACCTTTGGAAACTCTGCCTAATGACCTCTTGTCATGTTCTTTGAGCAGGATCGAATTCGATGTCATCGTCCAATTGCGAATCACCGTTCTCTTCTTCGAGATGGTTTGGAGAAAGGTCGTTCGGAACAGTAGTGATTTGATCATTGGCTGTCTCATCGTTGACCGGCAGCTGACGAAAGCGAGGACCTGATATCTTGTTGCATCGGTATGGAGTTGATCATAGAGCTTCTTTTTCAACTTATCACGCACGGCATCGAGCTGATAGTATCGACTATACGCTTCCTTGAGCTCTCCTTCTGGCATGGGTTTGATTAATCGAGGCAATGCCTAGAGGTAGCACTGTTAGATCGATAA